CATTCTTTCTGGCCTCAGTCTTTATTTTTTTTTAACATCTTTATTGGAGTATAATTGCTTTTCAATGGTGTGTTAGTTTCTGCTCTATAACAAAGTGAATCAGCTATACGTATACATATGTCCCCATATCTCTTCCCTCTTGTGTCTCCCTCCCTCCCACCCTCCCTATCCCACCCGTCCAGGTGGTCACAAAGCACCGAGCTGATCTCCCTGTGCTATGCGGCTGCTTCCCACTAGCTATCTGTTTTACATTTGGTAGTGTATATATGTCCATGCCACTCTCTCGCTTTGTCCCAGTTTACCGTTCCCCCTCCCCATGTCCTCAAGTCCATTCTCTAGTAGGTCTGTGTCTTTATTCCCGTCTTGCCCCTAGGTTCTTCAAAACTTTTTTTTTTAATATTCCATATATGTGTGTTAGCATACGGTATTTGCTTTTCTCTGACCTCATTCTGTATGACAGACTCTAGGTCCATCCACCTCACTACAAATAACTCAGTTTTGTTTCCTTTTATGGCTGAGTAATATTCCATTGTATATATGTGCCACATCTTCTTTATCCATTCATCTGTTGGTGGACACTTAGGTTGCTTCCATGTCCTGGCTATTGTAAATAGAGCTGCAGTGAACATTGTGGTACATGACTCTTCTTGAATTATGGTTTTCTCAGGGTATATGCCCAGTAGTGGGATTGCTGGGTCGTATGGTAGTTCTATTTTTAGCATTTTAAGGAGCCTCCATACTGTCCTCCATAGTGGCTGTATCAATTTACATTCCCACCAACAGTGCAAGAGGGTTCCCTTTTCTCCACACCCTCTCCAGCATTTACTGTTTGTAGATTTTTTGATGATGGCCATTCCGACTGGTGTGAGGTGATAGCTCATTGCAGTTTTTTTTTTTTTCAATCTTTATTGGAGTACAGTTGCTTTACAATGGTGTGTTAGTTTCTGCTCTATAACAAAGTGAATCAGTTATACATATACATATGTTCCCATATGTCTTCCCTCTTGCGTCTCCCTCCCTCCCACCCTCCCTATCCCACCCCTCTAGGTGGTCACAGAGCACCGAGCTGATCTCCCTGTGCTATGCGGCTGCTTCCCAGCTGCTCCACAGCATGTGGGATCTTCCCAGACTGGGGCACGAACCCGTGTCCCCTGCATCGGCAGGCAGATTCTCAACCACTGTGCCACCAGGGAAGTCCTGGATTCCTTTTATTCCTTTTTCTTCTCTGCTGTGGCTAAAACTTACAAAACTATGTTGAATAAGAGTGGTGAGAGTGGGCAACCTTGTCTTGTTCCTGATCTTAGTGGAAATGGTTTCCGTTTTTCACCAGTGAGGACAATGTTGGCTGTGGGTTTGTCACATGTGGCCTTTATTATGTTGAGGTGAGTTCCCTCTATGCCTACTTTCTGGAGGATTTTTTATCATAAATGGGTGTTGAATTTTGTTGAAAGCTTTCTCTGCATCTACTGAGATGATCATATGGTTTTTCTCCTTCAATTTGTTAATATGGTGTATCAAGTTGATTGATTTGCGTATATTGAAGAATCCTTGCATTTCTGGAATAAACCCCACTTTATCATGGTGTATGATCCGTTTAATGTGCTGTTGGATTCTTTTTGCTAGTATTTTGTCGAGGATTTTTGCATGTATGTTCATCAGTGATATTGGCCTGTAGTTTTCTTTCTTTGTGACATCTTTGTCTGGTTTTGGTGTCAGGGTGATGGTGGCCTCATAGAATGAGTTTGAGAGTGTTCCTCCCTCTGCTATATTTTGGAAGAGTGAGAAGGATAGGTGCTAGCTCTTCTCTAAATGTTTGATAGAATTCGCCTGTGAAGCCATCTGGTCCTGGGCTTTTGATTTTGGCATCACTCTTAACGGCAACGTAATCATTTTAACTGCTTGATTCTTAGATGGTTTTTGAATTTTTACTCTTAAATGACATTGATGAACATCTTTTTTCTTCATTCTCCCCTCAATTTTAAATGTGTCTTTTACGCCAAGAATCTGCTTTTATACAGTGAAAAAGCAGCTAGATGGTGATATTGATGCCTGATTCCAGAACTCATGCTTATAGTGAAAAAACTCAGAGTTGTTGAAGTTTAATCTGTTCTTATTCAGTATAGTTAACTTTTCTGATCTCTTTTATATATGTTCAAAAAATTTTTATGTAAAATGTTTGTCTGGCTAATATGAAAACTAAAGGGCAGGAGCTATCATATTTTTCCTACATAGCATTTGTAACATTTCCTTTATGCAGAAATGTTTACTTCTGTTGAATGTAATTTTTTTCTTATATAGAGACTAAAACTCTTATGAGCAATTCCTTTCTAGAAATGTTTGATCAATTGTGACTTCTTCTGTATATATTCTGTTGAATTCTAGTGCAGTAGTCCATAATACCTCAAGGCCCAACATCCAAATGCTTACCTTGGTTCCGGTCTTGAATTGTCTTTTATTCTAATAATATCTTTCAGTATACACGTGTACATCCACCCACCCCTCTGCTTTCTGTCTTCACAGAAACCATACCTTTTCATTCCAAATGTGGTGAGGCATCATTTTTAATGAGGTTGCAGATGACAGTATTATCCCTTATGCAGAACCTTCACTGTCAGCAAGACTTACACTTGCTTGTGGTGTTGATGGTTTGTGTGTCCCTATTCACTTTCACTGATGTCTGACCTAGTAGCCCAGCAGCATGCTAAGTGAGACACGTTGAAGAAGCAGCCTGTGGTCACAGGCAGAGGTTATTCCAGGTGCCCTCTTGGCTCCTCTGCAGCTATTTGGTGCACTCCTTGCCAGTGAACTTGTACAGAGAGCATCTGTCGTGTCCACAGTGTATAGCTCCTGAGGTCATTGCTGTTAACCCTGTAATAGGAGCTTGGGTGTATGCCTTTCAGCAGAGGGAAATTACATAGGGAAGACAGAAAGAGAGCAACTAAACACCTATCACTGGCACCATAGAAGAGAAATTAGAGGCTAGAGCAAAGATGGGGCAAAGGGTTTCAAGGGGCCCTCAGGAGGAGATAGTGAACAGGTGAGAACAGTAGCGGTAGATATTTCTGATAGACTCTAAATGCATTCGCATTACATCCACAAGCGCAGACGATAGGTCATCAAGGGTATTGTGAGAACCAAATAGAAGTTTGCCAAACCCTTCAGCTAGCTGATGTGTCTGAGAGAAAGAAAATATATAATTAATTTGGGCAGTTTGGGGTGATGCTTTCTAGGCAAGAGCCTAGGATTTATGTCAACTTTTAGTAAGCCCATGTTTGTTTGTATGTTTTTATTCAGAAAATTTAGAAACACAGGGAATAAAGAAGACAACTCAAATCTTCCATAATCCCACCACTCAAAGGCACCATTACTAAAATTTTGGAATATCTATTTTGTATTTTTTTTTTTTTACAAATTTCAAATCACTAAGTATTTATGTATCAATAGTTTTGAATCTGCTCTTTTCCCATAATATTATGCAATGAAATTTTCTTTGTTATTTTATCAAAAATATTTTTTCAGTGGCATAGTATTTCTATGCATTTTCTAGCATTTATTAAACATTCACCTACTGTTGGACATTTAAGTTGTCACCTTTTTCATAATATAAATAACGCTGTTCTGAGTATCCATGTAGCATACATCTTTGTGTATGTATCTAATTATTTCCCTAATTCCATGATGAAGAGGTGGAGACCGTTTCTATATACTGCCATGTTATCCTACAGGAAGGTGGTCTTATGTTACACTCCACTAGCAGTGAATAAGAAATCCCATCATTTCAGCACACCTTAGCTAATATCCCATATTTTTTTTCAAAAGGGGGCAAAGAGTATGTTTGTTTTGTTTTACAGAAGAGAATTATTTTCATAAGACAGAAACTAAAAATTCAAGCTAAGGTTTCAGTTTTAAAAATTGATAGAAAGTCTGAAGACTTTAAGCCCCTAAACAAACTATTAGCTATAGTCCTTTTTTTAAATCACTCAGAATTGTTTATAAATTAAGTTAGTTTGCATAGCCTCAGCAGTGTTAAACCTCCACATTAGAAAAAGGAATTGTGATAAAATACTGAAAAGTCTTACTTTAATTTAAAAATTAGCTCTCTATTTGTCATTTTAAACTTCTAACAATGTTTCCCACTTTTGTAGGAGGTATGTGGTATAATTTTAAATAGCTCTCCATGACACACTCATACCTGATTAATTTTTAATTTCTTCTCTTTCCTCCTTGATACTTAAGCTTACATCTGTATATTCGGTAAGAACAAAAGTTCTCTTCTCCAACGATTGACTACTTGAATCATTTCAATTTAGGTTACTAATAGCAGTGCAAAGTTAAACAAAAGCCTTGGTTGAAACTGTGTTAAATTATACAGTGTCATCTTCATTATTATCTAAATTTCATAGTTAGGAAAATTTGCAGTAAGAAGCTTGCATAAGTCAGGCAAATCTCCAAATTATGGAGCTGGCAGGGACCTCAGAAATCATCACATCCAGTCCTTTCATTTGATAGTTGAGGAAATGGAAACTGAGATTGGTGCAGGCACATCTCGGGAACACTCAGCTGAACAGCGACCCTTCTCCATGGGTTCTGGACTCTGCAGCCAGCTCCCTGCGAGGCCACACTTCTCAGCCCCGGTCATCTGAGAGCTGAAACATTTGGCACTATAGCCTCAATTCGTAGCCTTTGTCTCTCCTAAGAAATATGTATGAGAATAAAATTCCTACTGCTTCTTTGATTATCCTTTCTAACTCCAACTTCGCTCAATTTGTGGGAAGAACTGACAATTGACAAGCCACATAAATCAATTCCCTTTCAAAAGCCTTATAACAGGCTCAGTCATTTTGTAACACAGAAGCTGCGTGCTGTCACAGATTCCAAATGAACTAAACTTTGCCTTTAGCAGGCTCGTTGCAAGAATGAATACCTATGGAAGAAATATGATTACGTGGAACCACACCATTATTCATGTAAAGTATTCTTTTACTTGTTTTTCTTACCAGATATCTGTATGCCCTTGGACAGAAGGTTTGGAAAAGATGGAAAAAACGTTACTTTGTTCTTGTTCAGGTAAGTAGATTTTTTTCCTGTCACATAATCACTCTAAGCCATTCTCAAATTTTTTGTGGGTTGTATCTATCAATATTCACTGTATCAGAAATTAAAACTGAGAAATTTTAAAAATATTTTAATTCATTTTAAAATAAAATTGGTAGGTCCATTATATGCCAACGCAAATAACCTTTTTATTTAAAATAACTATTTTTCAGGCCAAACATTTTAGTGATATAAGTGGCATTACTTTATGCTTTTGTACCCCTCTTTAATATTCTGGCTTAATAAAATAGAATGCAGCTGCATTTTCACATCAGCTTCTGCCTTCAATCTGTTGCAATCTCAGGTGAAATTTAGCCTCTGGAAAACTCCGCTATACGCTCTTGAGAGAGTAAGTGTGAAACAGGCAAAGATGTTTGAATATTGTTAGAAAAATGGTTTTGACTTCCCAAGTCCCTGAAAGGATCTTGAAGAGCTCTGGGATCCCAAGAGCATACCTTGAGAGTCACTGCATTGTTCGATAGTTCATAGATAAAACTTAATACATAGAAACATGCATTTTTATAAAAATGTAATATATATATATCACTTATTCACATGTACAGGTCTTTAAATTACCTTGACTGATAGATTTGTTTGTGATAGGATTCTGAATGTAGACAGGATATTGGAATGTACACTTCAGTTGACTCTTTTTTGTTTTGGTTTGGTTTTTGAATCATGGATGACCTCTGCTCATGGAATATACTTATTTAGTTAAAGTTACATTAAAGAATAAATTTGAGTAATAGTCATTCCATTTCATGATAAATCCAAGCTGTTTTGTTCCCAATGAATATATATGAAAAGAGAAGCTCTCTTGGGATCCTTAACACAAAACAGTCTGTAAAATCTCATCAATTCCTATTCACACGTAAGTAGTTTAAATAGCCCAGATCAGATTAACATGGTGAAATTCCAAGGAAAGAAAATTATTTGCTGTCTTCCAGAAATAAAGCCATCTATCAACTGCTGGATAAAATTATTTTATTGATGTGCCATAATAGCATGGTAACTTCATGAAAAGTATAACCTTTTCATCAAAAGTGCTTTTTTTCCCCTGGGTAAAGTGTGACTTTTTCTTATGTAAATAGAACCAATATTTGGTCAACGAGTTTAATAAAAGATGCACACACATGTGCGCACACACACTGACAATCTTTTGATATAAACCCCAAGCATTTGCTTTGAGAAAGGGCTCCCTGTTGGGAGTTCTCAGTGATCCTCCTCCAAAAACCACACCTATAAGCCATCTTCTTTGGTTTCCAGGTTTAATTTCTTGACATTGGCACAAGAATTGAAATGCATTTACCAGGCAGTTTGAGTGCAGATCTTTCTCCAGTTATAGATGTCTCACCCACATCTAATTTGACAAGTTTGTGTTAGTGACTTGTCTTTGTCAAATCTTTCCAAACATTCAACTGATTTTTTGTAGGAAGTGCAGCTTCTTTTTCATAGTCATATGTCATTCATTTACATAGAATCTCATAAGTTCCCATCCCATAAGTTCAATAGCTCATGTTATTGGCCTAATAAGCAAACCCTACTGACTCTTAGCAAGCCTAGAGTTTAACTGGTGGAAATATGTATGAGAGCACATGGGAATGTCACCCAGTAACCACAGATGTTCAACATGTCATACCTTTTAGTCGATATGGTTTTTTTAGAGCAGTTTTAGGTTCACAACAAAATTTAAGGGAAGGTACAGAGATTTCCTATATATCCTCTGTCCCCAGACATAGCCTTCTCCACTGTCAACCTCACTCACCAGAATGGTACATTTGTTACCAAGGATGAACCTACGTTGACACATCATCTTCATCAAAAGTCCGTAGTTTTTATTAGGGTTCACTTTTGGTGTTTTACCTCTGTGTATTTGGACAAACATACTATTCATTATTGTAACATCATACAAAGCATTTTCACTGCCTTGAAAATCCTCTGTGTTCTGCCTATCATCTTCCCCTCCACCTTTGGCAACCCTTGATCTTTTTACCATAGTTTTGCTGTTTCCAGAAAGTCATAGAGTTGGAATCATGCAATATGTAGCCTTTTCAGATTAGCTTCTTTCACTTACGAATTTGCATTTAAGATTTTCCATGTTTTTTCATAGCTCAAAAGCTCATTTCTTTTTAGCACTAAATAATATTCCATTGTCTGGATGAATCACAGTTTATTTATTCATCTGCTGAAGGACATCTTGGTTGCTTCCAAATTTTGGCAATTATGAATTGAGCTGCTGTACACGTTTGTGTGCAGGTTTTTGTATAGACATAACTTTCCAGCTCCTTTGGGTAAATGCCAAGGAATGTGATTGCTGGATCATATTCATTATTTTTTTAAAGAATGAATCAGAGAGTGTTTGTTATGTAGAGATCCAGTGAAGTGACAGTAGGCTAAAGAGTTTCTTATATACTGACTGTTTTAATATGAAAACTAGGCCTTAGCAGATCAGTTTTGAGAGGTCAAATGGACACCTCATGCTTCTGGCCAGGTAAAGTTCAAGGTAATCCTTTGCTTCTTACCTTATTTTCTGGCATATGATCACAAGAATCAAGTTATAAAACAACCACGTATACTTTATCACCCCATAAGAGAGTTTAGAAATGAAAGAAGAAAGTTGAATACTTTTGAGATCATTAATTGGTATGTCTTTTAGGAACATTAACCATGCCTTTGGAGAGCTAGAAAGTTCTCCACGTAACAAAAATATGTTTAACATTTTAAAGGCAAAATTCAGTTTAAACCAAAGGAGGTAAACCTCTATACCCCGTAATTAAAATTTAGGAGAAACACCACCAAACTATCATGAATTCAGATTTATTCTACCTGAGGTATCATTTTAAAATTTGAAGTCATATTTAAGCATTGTATCTTTACACAAATATATGTAAGTACGTGTACTCACACAAAGAATCCCATGCCCAAGTGTTTTGAGATTTACACGCCAGTAGTTTGGCAACTTTTTGAAGTTTTAAATACAATTGAATCTTCCTTCCAATTCCAAATGTAATGGGAAGACAAACTGAATGTACCCACTTCAAAATCAAGATGGGTATGTATGGAGATTGAGCAAGAAGGCCTCATTGGGTAGAGCCAGGTAGTTTTATCAGTATTTTTAAAGATAGCTCTCATTCTATTGGCAAATAGTTCGTAGATCTGTACCTGCAGGCTGCACTATTAAAAGGTGAAGGAGTCATTTTCGGAGAGGACAGTATACCCCTGCTGTGTCTGCTGCCGCCATCGTCAGAATAGTGCTCTGGTGATAATGTGAATCTCATCACCACTTGTGAGTGTGTATTATATGAGTGATATAGCTGGAGATCTAGCCATCAGCCCAAGAATTTGTACTCATAAAAATTGATTGAGAGTCGGGTTTGGTCAGTTGCAAAGTCATTGTTCAAAGGGAACACTTGCAGAGCTGTTGAGGTGAAGAGACTTTTCAAAGACTCTTGTATAAACATTTAAAAGAGTTGAAAATGGGAAAATGAATTACTTATCAATGTGGGGTGTTTATTTAGCTTCTAAGTAAGATTAGTTTTGGACCCCATTTAGATTCTGAAGCCAGTATAGTGACAGTATTAATTAGATCTTTCATGTATCTAAGAGGCTGCATTTGTTTTTCATGAAGGTAAATTTTGGTTCAAGCCAAACTGAAAGAACAGTGATTTTGAGGAATATGTTTGAACTCTTACCAAAACTTACTTGTGTTTGTATTAAACTTATATGTGTTTGTTATGCTTATTCAGTGTTCTAGTATTACATTTGGAGGATATCACTGGCGTAAAGTACTTATGACACTAATATGTTTTAGTTCATTATAATAAACCATTCAGTAGCTTTAAAATTCTATACTTGTGTTTATGATTTAACCAAACCGAATGATTTCATAATTCTGTATTCAGCTAATGCCTATTCAAAAAACTGTATGCCCCCAGATATTGCATATTCTGTGGTAATATAAAAATTCCTGAATCACTCACCTATTAATACAATTATTGCTATATTTAATCTAATATTTATTATGCAAATGTGGCAGGCATTTATGGGGAGCACTTTTACTACATTATCTCTTTTACTCTTCAGAATAAGGTTTATTTGAGGGTAGGTATTATCCCCACGGTACAGATTAAATTGATGTACAAAGAGGTTATATAATTTGCCCAGAATTATACAGTTAGTAAGTGGTGGCGACAAGTGATCAGTCCAGTTCTGTCAGTCTCTAGAGGCTAAGCTCTTATGTCCTCTGTCACGGCGCCATGATCAAATTAATGCACACAACCCCAGCTGATCTGAAGACAAACAGAAAAAACGAATAATCACCGTGGATCATTCATTTCACGAAGTACAAAACAGTGTTACTCCATTAAAGAAATGGCCAGTGACTGATGGCATAAAGAGTCCCATGCTCATGAAGGCCACTTACCGTATGACATGCCTGGAAACTGAAGAAGGTAGACATGTGTGTTGTTTGGGCCCTGTATCAGAGTGTGCACTGCTTGTTGTCGATGTGTCAGAATCATGACTTGAAGTTGCTGCAAACAACAGCGGGCTATCAAGACATAATGTTAATTACACATCAGCTGAGTTGGCACAGGATATAAACAGTCAGCCATGCCACTGAGTGATCATTACATGCTGCAAACATACGAGAGCCACTCTGTTAGTGACATGCCATCAAAATCTGCTCTAAACTTAAAGAAGTGGCTGCCCCAGCCTACTGATATCTGAAATATTCAGCACACCTGGAGCAGCACTGCAGCAGGCTACTGTCACAGTTCTGAGAATGCCACTAACTGCAGGAAATTATATGGTCTAGGTTTAGTCTTAGGACATAAGCTGATGTTTGCTTATAGTAATGCAAAGTGAATAAATAAGCTGCTGTCAAGTCAAGAAAGTCATAGGGTAGTGGCTCTCTGGCTTCATGTTTTAAACTGATGTAAAATGTACAAACCCAAGACATACTCAGTATAGGA